AGAAAATACATTAACTTTCACCGTGGACAAAGCGGAGCCCAGCCCGCCTCAGCTCACTCTATACCGGCGTCAGCGCACGCTAAGCCGGGGCTTCCCCTCACGCTAGGCTGCTGTGTTTTTCGTTGCCACTGATGATTCAAACGCGAGTTTTGAGCAGTGTAGAGTAGGCTTGTTGTATGTTGTTTCTTCGATCACAAATGCAGACATGGTTTTATGTTTACGCGGCGCGATACACAACGCAAAGCGTAAAAAGACAGTATAAGTCATTATAATCAGTAATTATGTCCCCACTGGATGCAACAAATGCCTCGTTTGTAATGGGTTTTATTGGTTTTGTCTCGTCGCGCCGCGACACGTGGAAACACAGAATAGTAAGGGGCGTAACATTTCCGTCACACGCTTGAGGTAATCAGCCAATCACAACACACTGGATAGCTGGCCAATCAGAGCACACCTCGCTTTTCAGAACGATGAGCTTTGTAGAAATCGACGCGTTTCAGAAAGGCGGGGCATAGAGGAGAAACAATAATGTACATTATGTGGAAAATAATGTGTTTTTTGAACCTTAAACCGCATAAACACATTGCATTACACCAAATACACAAAATAATGTTCGTTTTAGCAACATCATATGACCCCTTTAAGATGGAAGAAATGTGATTATCCACTTACTGCTTTACCACACCACGCCTGCTTATGAAGTATAACATACCTCCATGATCTCCAGCAATGCCTCGGTAACCGTCTCCAGGGATGACAGAGCAAAGGTCTCTCTCTCGTACGAGCCCGGAGAGAACGAACGATCCCTGTAGCTGGACCGAAAGGCGATGACCGCAGCCGATTTGACCTTGCTGATGCCGAACAGCAGGTAGAACTTTGGCAGGGAGAACTCTGTCAGACTTAGACGCAACACCTGCTTGGTCTCCTCTGCACAGCAGAAGAACAAGACACTTCAGTTATCAATAAATCACTGATCTATGAAAACATCTATCTAGGGCAAAAATGGCATCTTACCGCTGAAACTCAGCTGGGAGCATGTGCAGAGGGAGTGGATGATGTTGATAACCAGGCCATGCGTGGATGCCCGCAGCGAAAGAGGCCCCGTGGCCACCAGCAGGGTCACAACATGGAAGAGGTAGGGCAAGTGGGCGGCTACATCCAGAGAGTTGTTGAAGGACAGCATGAGCATGTACCTGGCCAGGATAGCGATGTCATCCCACATCAGGTGCTGCTCCAATGTCGGTGTGGGTGATAGACACGTCTTATCGATGATTTTACACATCCGAATGATCACCTGTGGATCAGCATGAAGACAAAATTCAATTCCCATAAAACCCACGTTAAATTTAGATGAGAGAATTCCAGCGTTGTTATGGTAAACTAAAATTAAAAATAATAAAACTATTAAAAATCTGCTTCAGTAAATTAAATAAAGTTTACATAAAACAAAATAGAATGGTGAACATAACATATTTAACTTTATATAAATAGTTGAAAAACCTAAACTTAGAAATGCTTCCTTGGCAACTAACTGAAATAAGTTGAAGTACTAAAATTACTAAAACTAAAACTGAAATAAGGGTACATAGGAAAAACAAAACTGATACAAAAATGACAAAAGCATGAAATTACTAAAAATAAAATTTAAATAAATCTGAAAATAGAAAAATAGAAAACTTGAAATTTAAAATATGAATAAATAGTATAATAAATAAACAATACTAAAATATATAAGAATGTATCTATAAATGTAAAAAATGTATATATAATAAAATATATAAAAATGTATATAAATAATACTAAAATAACAATGGAGAGCACAATACATAAAGGAATACTAAAGAAATTAAAAAACATATTTCCTGTTTCCCATTAACATAAAAACAGCTTTTAGGATTATTCTGCTCGGAAATTTGTTTGAATGAAATATTCAGATGTTAAGTTTGTATGGTTTACAGAACCCAGCTGAGCTCAATGAACCAACAAAAAGCCCATGACCTGAGCACCATCACTATCTCTCATGACAGAGAGAAACAGAGACAGATAAGGTGGTTAAAGAGAGTAAGAACAACAGCGAGAGAGAAAGAAACCAACCAAACCACATTTGTGAGTCACACAGTGCTTCCATAATTAGAGCTGTTGTTACAGAATCACATCATGTAACATCTTTTGCGTTGTTTTTTCACATGTTCAGAAACATTCTTAAAATTTGGACCTCAGCCTATTCAAGTTTCTTCTGGTCTAAATGTAATGTTAGGAAAAACAGACTTCTAAAAGCTGAACTTACAAAGTGTGTGAGTGTGCATAAACGTCACCTTGCTAGACACCAGTTTGACGTTACCAGAGGCCAAAGCCACTGCTGTGTCTGCCATCACTTCAGCTTTGATAGATCCGAGACCTCCTGTTGCACTGGTTTTAATAAAACTGTCCAAAACTACATCAAGTAGATCTGTTATCTGCAGACACAGGAAGCTGCCATCAACTCAAAATAGACATGCTCTCTAAAGTGTAATTATAAATCTTTAAGGAAGTGAGTGCTACATGAATATGACTAGGGAACTGCAAATAGCAATGCATTACTCTTCAATTACTCAAGCCTTCAATGCATGTGTCACATAAGTCAAGTCAAGTCACCTTTATTTATATAGTGCTTTATACAATACAGATTGTGTCAAAGCAGCTTTATAGTGCAAAATACATAAATACATTTCAGTTCTGTTACCTGTCCCAGGCTTCCCCAGATCTTGGCCTGAATGGACGGATACATCTGCTTTTCGTTGATCGTCATGGTAATGAGTTTGTCCAGAATGGCAGTGACTCGTTGACGCCTGGCATCATCGCTGTGCTTGCAGAAGCGTACCAGGTTCAGCAGCCAGGGAGTCATGTACTCCAAACACAGGTGCTTTAGTTCTATACCTGAATATACAGAGGAAAGATATTGGTTACCAGAACACTTCTTAACTCCATATTCTTATCTCCAGAGAAAGTATTAACACTCTTAAAAAATAAAGGTTCTTTATTGGCATCTATGGTTCCTTGAAGAACCTTTAACATCCATTGAACCTTTCAATCCTTTATAGTGGAAAAAGTTTCTTCAGATTGTTCTTCAAACTAAGAAAAAAATGGCTGTTTTAAGAACTATTGACTGAAAGGTTATTTGAAAATGTTTTTTCTATGGCACTGCTATAAAAACACCATTTTGGAAGCTTTATTTTTAAGTGTGTACTCTTGTAAAAAACTGCAAACAGCAAATACACAATCAGTTTGAACATTTGTGGACTAATGATGCCTTCCAGTAGCAGTTTTAAGTAGGAACTTCCTAGGAGGATTTCAAGGCAAAACAGAGAATGCGAGTAATGATCTGAAATAGCTGGAGGATCTCAAGGGTCTTTTGAGAGTTTAATTAAGGGCTTAATGGGGCACTAACTGGACTTGCTGAAGCCAGAGATACACTCCTCCAGGAACTCCAGGGTCAGGTGAGGCTCATTAGCTGCTAGAGTCTTGCTAATGGACACAATGAAGAGGGTGTTATTGGCAGGGATGCAGAGGCCGGAAGTCTCCAGCAGTTGGCCTTCAATCTTTAGGTTAAAGGTGCATGTTAAGGCACACAGGAGGTTGTAAGCTGCAGACCTTTAAACAAAACCGAGAGACAGAAATATTCAAGAATGTACACACTGGTAAACATCTGACCTCTGTTGATGGATTTAGGATAACTGATCACCTTAAACTGGGGTCAGAGCTGCCCAGGTTGAGGAGGGCGATGTTGAGAAGGGTCCCCGGAACATCTTTGGGCCTAATTTTGGTGTGCTGGGGAATGGAGTCAGGCTGAGAGAGCTCCCAACGTGTACGGATGTGGATAATCGAGTGAACTATGCTCTCACACTCCTGGTGCATGAAGGTTAACGGCGTGCCCTGGTTAGCAATGGTCAGTGTGAACTGATTTTCATCCACTAGGCAGATTTCCTCAATCTCTGAAGCATAGTAGATGTCGTTGAGGAAGACAGACTGACCCAAGACTCGTGTTCGTTCGGCTGAGGTCACCTGTACTGCTGTACTGCCCACCTGGAGAAAAGACAGAATCAAACATATTGAGACAAATCAAAAAAAGTGAAACCGAGCTGTAAGAAGAGGTATTCATCCTTCTTCACACACCTTAATGGACACTTTGGTGTCTTTGTGGGCCAGTTTTAGGGCATTATGAAAGACCTTCAGGTCTTCTTCCAGTGCAAGAGTAGCTGCCGGAAGCTTCTGTTGCTCTGGTTCCACATACTCAGCCAGCCGTGCGGGCGAGTCAATGAACAGTAACTTCTTACTGCCCTTGAGGCCCGTCAGCAGTCTCTCATGATATTTGGTGTATTCTCGTACCCATGTGTTACAGTTATAGATGTAGATGGCAGCCACATTCTCGTAAGCAAATCCTGGAAAGACAACAAACCATTTGGAGAGGAAGTCGGTCTTGAAGCGGTTGCTCGGACCAGCATGCGTCAAGTCCACTACTAGCTCGTAGGGCTTGGCATAGTACGGTTTGAGGGTGAGAAGGACGTGGTATATGAGTAAGTCCCCATTAATCTGTCCTGTCTTGAATCTGTGAGGGAGAGGAAAACAGACAAAATGGAAACAATGGCCTGCAAACCCACCGAATGCTGTTATTATTAGACTGATAACTAGAAAAAGGAAGTTTGTCAAGACAAACTTTGACGTATGCTTGACAAAGCCATCCATCCAAATTTTCAATGGTCATAAAAGCTTAAAGTGCCCCTATTATGGATTTTTGAAAATTACCTTTCATGCAGTGTGTAATACAGCTCTAAGTGAATGAAAACATCCTGCAAAGTTTTAAATCTGAAAGTGCACCGTGTATAAAGTTATTGTCTCTCAAAAGAAATAGTCGACTCTGAATCAGTGAAACGAGTCGTTTTTTTAAAACGAATCCCAAGCCGTTTCATGTTGACGTCAACATGAAACATTAGCATATTGCCCGCCCACTTGTTGGTCTTTTCGCATGGGTCTGAATGAAAATGCAAATTCATTCTTTGTCACTAGGTGCCGCTTTTGGAGCAGTAAAAATAGCCGTTTCCCCGGTAACGGCTGTAAACAAAGCAGCACTGTGCTCACAAATGCTGCTTTATCAGGCATTACTGGCATGATGAAATGAAAATTAGATCAATCGACCAATCACCGCAGATTAGCGTCATGCAAAGGAGGGGTTTGGAAAAATGAATCATTGAGCGAATCGTTTGGGAGTCGTTGAGCAAGTAAGGTAAAAATAAATGCATATTATAAGACAATGAAAGTGTTTTTTGACCTTGCATGCATGTCAACCTGTTGTTGGGGACTCCCAAAACCAAAATATGAACATTTCATAACCCATAATAAGGGCTAGACTTGTGCCGGTACTCGGTAATGCGATATATCACGGTAATGAATATGCATGATATCGTTATCGTGGGCACTTCTAAATACCGTGAATAATTATATATTACAAATTATTCAGAATTTTGAATGCATTTTAAGAATACTTTTCCCATAAACTGGTCAAAATGCACAACACCGCTGTATGCTGCGTGAAAGACGCTTGCGCACTCTGATGTAAACAAGCGCGGACGTGAAGCACATGGCGGAACATGTGAGAGAAACTCTGGATGAAAGCGCTTTCACTCTCTGACAGCAGATGGCCTAAACTGCAGAAATAATAATAATAATAATAATAATAATAATAATAATAATAATAATAATAATAATAATAATAATTCATTTAAATGCAGCCGTTACCCC